TTTCCTTTCCTTTCCTTTCCTTTCCTTTCCTTTCCTTTCCTTTCCTTCTTTTTTTTTTTTTTGGCGAGGCAATCTTGGTTAAGTGACTTGCCCAGGGTCACACAGCTAGTAAGTGTCAAGTGTCTGAGGCTGGATTTGAATTCATGTCCTACTGTATATATCCTCTTATTAATGGGTTAATCTGTCATGTCAGGTTTTATTGCTTTTTGCTAAAGGTCACTGTAAGAATTAAAGAACAAATATCAGTGACTTCAGAGTAAGCCACAACATTTAAAGTAAGTTTCTCATCAGGTACATACAAGATGTTCTAAATATCTGTTGAAGCTTAAAAATGCCCTAAAATTTTTGGGACATGCCAAATGTAACATTTTAGAGGAAATTTCATAGAAGGTGTCATCAGCCAAATACAGAGCCTCATGTCAGTTTTAATTATAGTATTTTTTTTTTGGTTTGTTTTTGCTAGGCAATGGGGTTAAGTGACTTGCCCAGGGTCACACAGCTAGTAAGTGTCAAGTGTCTGGTGTAAGAGTGGATTTGAACTCAGGTATTCTTGACTTCAGGGCCAGTGCTCTATCCACTTCACCACCTAGCTGCCCTGTTAATTATAGTATTAAAATATTACTGGCTATATGACCTTGGGAAAGTTACTTAACTTGAATTTCTAAAGGAAATGATTCCCTAAAATAATGGTGTTAGACTAGATGGCCTCTGAAACTCTAGTATTAGACCTATGATCCTTTTTTCTTTAATTCTTGATTTTTTTTTTTTTTGGTCAGCCATTGTACATGTATGAAGAAGCCATTGAGTCCTGTGCTTGTAAAGTATTTTGATGAGACTAGTTTGGGTGATCCTGGCAGGATTCATGGCACTTTGGCTAACCCCTGCCTATTCAGGACCCATGGCACCTAGGTGGTCTGGATTTCACATATTTATTTATTTCATTATTTGAAAAAAGGTTATGTCCAGTTTTTTAAAAATAGATTTTTATTAGCAATCTTTTGTTTTTACATCGCCTCAATTATTTGCTGTATCAGTCCTCTTTTCTCCTCACCATATGTGATCACTATAAAATTTATATTGTTTCATATTATAATGATAGGACTGCAATATGGAGTCACTTGGACAAGTGGTTCTAATGGCTATAAGGCAACGACAGACAGGGTTGTACTTTTCCACTGTTCTGATCAATGTTAATTACTATGTCAGGAATACTCATAGCTTCTGATTGGAGACAACTCTTAACCAGGTACCCCTTTCTATTAGTCATTCTCTTCCTACTGCCTTACATAGTTAACTTAGTTCCTCTCTCAGTTTCTGGTCCCCATAAAGAAACTCCCCTTAACAGAGACTCAGCTAAGTCTCTTATCAGTAAGTAACTCTGAGAACTTTACCTCATCTGGATCTGATTAGGAATGCCCCCTCCCACGTCTGACATTGATTACGTTTTCTCAAACAAATTGATATTAAGAGTATATAGTTTCATTACGTGAACCCCAGCTTTAAGCATTTTCCTTTCTGACACATCTCCCCTCCCCTCCAACTGGGTGAGTTCCTTGCATCTGTGGAGATGAACCTCTATTTATATTGTCATTGTGTGTGTGTGTGTGTGTGTGTGTGTGTTTCTTATTTTTTGCTGGCTTGTCGTGTGGCCCTTGTTTATATCAGCATCATCTGCTGATATAAATTGCCTGCTTTAACCTGAGTGGTGAGGCTGAATAAAGCACCATGCCTCATAACAAAGACCTTTTTTTTAAAAAAAGAAACAAAAGAAAAAAAGGGGGATGAAGAGAAGACAAAATTCAGCAAAAACCAATCATACATCAAACTCCCCTCTCCCCCAACAAAACAAAGCAAAACAAAACAACAAAAAAACCTGAACTTATTTGCAGTGTTCTGCACCCACAGAGCATCTCTACCTCTGCAAAATTGCAGAGAGGTAATTTATTATCTCTATTCTTTGGGTTTGTTTTTTCTTTATATTTTCAAATCATTGTTTCTTCTTTTTTTGAAATTCTATTTGATTTTTAGTTCCAAATTATTTCTTTCCCACTTTTCCTTCCTCTGCCATTGAGAAAGTAAGAAAAACAAAACTTATTACGAGTATGTATAGTCAAGCAAAACAAATTCCCTCATTGGTCCTCACCTTTCCCTCCATATGCTTCATTGTGTACTCTGAGACCATCCCATCTCTATCTGAGGTGGAGAGCATGTTTGATCCTGAGTCCTCTGGAACTGTGACAACATTCAGTTTTAGGGTTTTTTTTGGTTGCTGTTGAGGTTCTTGTTCTTTCTATTTATGTTCCTATCATTATATACACACACATATACATACACACATACATACATACATATTTAATTTTCCTGGCTGTTTATTTCACCTGGCATCAGTTCATATGAAAATCTTTTCATATTTCTCTGTATTCAACATGTTGACCATTTCTTACAGCACAGTAATGTTTCATCACAATTTGTTTAGTGCAATTTTCCAGTCTACATATATTTACTTTGTTTCCAGTTCTTTCTACCTCACACACACAAAATAGGCTTTCATAAATATTTTGTACTTGCCTTTTGTCAGTTAAGTCCCTGGGGTATATAGCTAGCAGTGGAATCTCTGGGTCAAAGAGGGTGGACAATTTAGTTACTTTATTTGCAAAATTTCAAATTTTTTTCCAGTATAGTTACTCTAATTCACAACCCTACCAATAATGTAGTAGTGTGCCTGTCTTTTTATAACCTCTCTGACATTTATTATTCCCATCTTTTATCATCTCTGTCAATTTGTTGGGGATTGTTTTGATCTGCATTTATTGATAATAATAGAGTTTAAACTTTTAAGGTTTACGTATAACTTTACAAATATCATGTCATTCTATTTTCACAACAACTCTGGGAGGTAGGTATTATTATTATCTTCATTTTACAAGTGAAGAAATTGAGGCAGACAGAAGTGAAGCGACTTGTCCAAGGTCACATAGCCAGTGTCAGGGGCCAGATTTGAACTTGTGTTTTTCTGGTTCCAGGTCCAATGTACTATCCACTATACCACTTACTGCTTACTTCTCTTGTTATTAATGATCTGGAACATTCTTTCATGTGCTTATTAATATTTGTAATTTTTCATTTATAATAATATTTATTTAATATGTTGAGGTTTGTAAAATATTTTTCAAATGTTATTTCATTTGATCTTCACAACAACCTTGGAAGGTAGGTGCTATTATCACCCCCATTTTGTAGTTAAAGAACTTGAGGCAAAGAGAGGTTAAAATACTTGCCCAGGACAATCTTGGGAGATGGGTACTATTGTCTCCATTTTTCAGATGAGAAAACTGAGGCAAAGTGGTTAAATGACTTTCCCAGGGTCACACACCTAGTAAGTGTCTGAGGCCAGATTTGGATCCAGGTCTTCCTGACTACAGATCCAGCACTCTATCCACTGTGCGCCCTAGTTGCCCACAATTTTGTGGTGAATAGTGTGAAGGTGGTTAGGTGGTACAGAGGATGACATGTTGGACCAGGAATTAAAAAGATTTTGGGTTTGAACCCTGCCTGAGACACTTACTAGGTCTGGACCTGACAAGTCACTTACCCGTTCTTAGGCTCAATTTTCTCG